TAAGATAATTCTAAGATAATTCTAAAATTCAGAACAGATTCCTCCGCCCCTCTTGGAGAGCCCAGCGAGTTACTGAGAATATCTCGCCCACACGGCAAAGCCTGGCAAGCTACCGTGATGTATTCGGTATGCCAAACACAGTAACAAGTGTCACAATGGAGACGTTACTGGACTCGCTCAAGCAAATCGATGAACAACAGGAGTACAGTGACAGTGACAGTGACAGTGACTGTTCAGTAGAACTTTTCTTAGTTGGAAATATTCTGTCAGTACTTGAAATGTGTCTCTGGTATAATAGAGAAACAAAATGTAGGATTTCAGTTGGTTTGAATTTGATCCAAAATACTGTGTTGGACAGTATCAATTAACACTAAGTTAATATTAATATAGTGGTAGATTCACAGCGGAGCTTGGCAAACATGTTTTTGTAAGGAACCAAATAATGTTTAGGCTTTGTGATTTGCGTATTCTTAATACCACTACTCCACCCACTGCTTGTTGTTTGGAAACAATCCTAGACAACATGTAAATAAATGGCTTTGGCTATGGTCCAATAAAACTTTATTTATGGACACTGCAATTTAGATTTCTTATAAATCTCGCCTGGCATGCAATAGTAGTCTTCTGATTTTTTTCAACCCTTTTAAAAGCAAAAATTGTTCTTAGTCTACAGGCCTTATCACAAAGGTGATAAGTAGCAGGTTGCAGAACCCTGGTCTAAAGTGTTCGTAAATATCAATAACAGAGAGAAAAAAAATAATATTTCTTTTTGTTTTGGGGCCACAATCAGTGATACTTAGGGCTTTCTCCTATCTCTGTGCTAGGGATCACTCCTAGAGGGACTTGGGGGATCACATGGGATGCTGAGGACTGAACCTGGGTTGGCTGCATGCAAGGCAAATGCCCTGCCTGCTGTACTATTGCTCTGGCGCTGAGAAAAATTTCTTACGTTCATTCAGCAAATGTTTATTAATTGTCTGTCATGAGATACAGAGCTGAAGATAAAATAAAAATAACCACGTAAATACAGAAAGCACCCATGTTCTCATGGAATTCACATTCCTGCCTGTAAGTGTGTGTGTTGGAGGGTGGAGGGCAGAAGGGGAAGAATAAATGTATGTTGTATGGTGACAACGAAGGAATTTTATGGAGACAAATCAAAGAGAAAAAAAGTAACAGCAGGGGAGACCCAAAGAGATGGTTTATGGGGGCTGAGTGCAGGCTTTCCCTGGAGGAGTCCCAGCTGATTCCCAGCACCTCATAATCCCTGCTTCCCTGAGCACTGCAGGGAGCCACCACACCAGCATGGCTAAGTGTGACCAAATAATCTAACAAGGAAAATGGGGAAGAGGAAGGTAAGAAGGAATGGAGAAGGGAAGGGAGGAGGAAGGAAGGAGGGAGGAAAAGAAGGGAGAAAAGGAGAAAAGGTATTTGTTCTGGGGGTTGGAATGATAGCACAGCGGGTAGGGCGTTTGCCTTACACGCGGCCGACCCGGATTTGATTCGCAGCATTCTGTATGGTCCCCCGAGCACTGCCAGGAATAATTCCTGAGTGCACGAGCCAGGAGTAACCCCTGTGCATTGCCGGGTGTGACCCAAAGAGCAAAAAAAAAAAAAGTATTTGTTCAACAAAACTAGCTTCCTTTGATGTAGAGAGCACTCAGTGGACTGGACTGTGCCCATTCAGGACATGTGGCTATCCTTGAGCACCTTCAGGAGTGACCTGGGAGCACCCAGCTGGGAGTATCCCCGGATTATTGTCAGTGGTAGCACAGAACCCCCAAACAAAATGAACCTGCTTTAGAATTCTTTCACCTTTTGCACCGATACTCAGAAAGGGCAGTCCAGGGGCTATGTCTATGTTAGAAGCACTTGAGACAGCCTCGTCTTAGTGTTCTAGACCACTGTTTGGGGAAAATTGTATGTGGTATGGGGACCACACACACAGATGCTGGGGCCTAGCATGCAGACCAGGACCTGATGGGTTTGGAAACTTTAGGAAAACACCCAGGATGCTCAGGGGAGCATGTGACTTTGGGAATCAAACTGGGGCCTTGCACGCATGAGCTCTACTATTTGAGCCATCTCCCAGTTCTAAGAAAATATTTTTAATATTTTTTTTGGTGGGAGCATGCCCTGAGGTGCTCAGGGCTTACTGCTGGCATTGCACTCAAGGGTCATTTCTGGTGGAATTCAGGGGATCATATGGGGTTGCTGGGATCTGAAACTGGGTCTGCCATGTGTAAGGCAAGTGCCCTACCCGTTGTACTCTCCCAGGAAGCTATTTTAAAGCTAATACTTATCAACACATCAAAAAGACCCCTCAAATAGAAATTCTGTGAGAGTTTTTCTGGAGTGAAGAGTAAAGAGGTTACAGAATGGGGGCAGAGAGCTAAGCAGCAGGTAAGACGCTTGCTGTGCTTGTGGCTGACCCGGGTTCGATTCCTGGAACCCCATATAGTTTTGGAACACCGCCAGGAGAGATTCCTGAGTGCAGAGTCAGGAGTAACCCCTGAGCATCACTGACTGTGACCCCAAAACAAAAATTAATTAAAATTAATTGAAGAGGTTATAAAATGGTTTGTTAAAAACATGTTTAGTAATGCACTTAGAAATAGTAAAGAAGTTTCCAATCTTCAGTTGGAAAACCTTCACCATCAGTCCACTACCCTGTGTCATGCTTCTTTGTTTTGAGGGTGCTTCATGAGCAGTGCTCAGTGGTCTTCTGGCAAAACTCTTGGAGGAATCCCTTCCTTCCTTCCTTCCTTCCTTCCTTCCTTCCTTCCTTCCTTCCTTCCTTCCTTCCTTCCTCTCTTCCTCCTACTTTCCCTCTCTCCCTCATTCCCATCCTCACTCTCTTCCTTCCTTCCTTTTTCCCTTCCTCCCTCGCTCTCTCCCTCACTCCCTCCATTCCTTCTTTCCTTCCTTCCTCCCTTCCTCTCTCTCTCCCTTTCTCTCTCCCTCCATCCCTTCCCTGGGAGGTGCTGTCAATAGAACTCAGGTGTCCAACCAAGCATGCAAGGCACATGCCCCTAATCCCTGAGCTTGCTCCCCTGCCCTGGGTGTTGTGTGTTACGAAGTTTTCTTTAAGCCCAGGGAGTAATATACTTCAATCTAAATTATCCTGTGTTTGAAGCATGTGTTTAGTGCCTAAGAAGAGCACCTGTGTAGCTGATGGATGGTCCTAATGTCTCCTTCCAGTCATGAACACTGTCGGAATCTCCGTTTTCTTTCAGGAACATGGTTACTTTTGGTGTTATTTTACAGCACACAAGGCCACTTGAAAAAGTCCTGAGAACTGTTTAAATGTCATTGTCAGAGAGTTTAAAAAGCCCAGGGGATCAGGACCTTCTTTTAGGTCACCAAATCAGAAACTGTCTTGCTTTGTAGTAACTCAAAAATGTTTTCACATGAAGGTTACTCATGTGAAACTTTTGAACTAGTTTTTCTCTCTCTTTTTTTCTGCTAAAAATCCCTTGAGTGTGCAGTTCTAAGTTTCACAGTTAGTTAAAAAGAATTTTTTTTAAATACTATCAGACTTACAGAGAAGTTGCAAAATAGCACAAAAATGTTTTTTTTTTTTCTGGAAAATTTGAGCATAGGGGGCTGGAGCGATTGCACAGTGGGTAGGGCATTTGCCTTGCATGCGGCCAACCTGGGTTCAATTCCCAGCACCCCATACGGTCCCCTGAGCACCGCCAGTAGTAATTCCTGAGTGCATGAGCCAGGAGTAACCCCTGAGCATAGCTACTGACTTCGTGTCCAATTACCCTTCACTATTGAGTGTTTATTTCTGCATTCTGTGTATCCATAAAGAACATCACGCGGGTCTGGGAGATGCCCCAAAGGGCTCCAGTGCATGCTTTGCATTGCGAGAGCCACAGGTTCGGTCCCCAGTACCTTGTGGTCTTCTGGAATACTGCCGGGAGTGGCCGCAAAGCATATAAACAAAATCTACTATGAAATTAGCATGGATACATTAGTACCGTTAAATCTTCATATCCCATTTGGATTTCTCCAGTAATTTCTGTAGTAGCCTTACCTGCAGGAGGTTTTGGCCCAGATCCACACTTCACACCAATGTATCCTGTCTCCTCCCTCTTGCAGCCTGGAAGAGGGTGTTAGTCTCTCTTCACTTTGGCCTTGACCTTGACACCATCAAGGCTGATGGTTTCCCTGGTTCCTGTCCCTTCTCAGAGTGCACACATGACGGGAATGTCGCAGTTGTGGTGCAGCCCTTGCTGTCATCAGCTGGCACTAGCTTTCCATCTGCCCGATATTGATGATGAGCCATTTCCAGCAGGTCCACCAGGTTCTCCACTCAAGAGCTGACTTTGTTTGTTTGTTTGTTTCTTTGTTTGGGGTCCTGCTGAGCAGTGCTCAGGGATTACTCCTGGCTCTGCACTCAGGGATCAATCCTGGCAGGGCTCAGAAAACCATACGTAGTTTCAGGGATCAAACCGGGGCCAGCAGCATGCAAGGCCAGCTGAATGCAACCCTGATGACTGTGCCCCCCCCAAGGGTTGATTCTTTTCATCCTTGTAGCAGTAATTATTTGGGGGAGAAGCACGTCAGAGTGCTAAAAGTACCCCATTCACCCTCCGCTTTCCATCATAATCACTTTTAAAAAAATCGGAGGGGGCCACACCCACTGGTGTTCAGGGGCTTGACTCTTGGCTTTGCTCAGGGATCGCTCCTGGTGGGCTCAGGGGACCATCTCGGATGCTGGGATTGAATCCGGGTTGGCCGTGTGCAAGGCAAGTGCATCCTACCCACTATACCATTGCTCTGGGCCCCACTTAATTTTTTTAAAATATGATGCTTGCCTCGCTAATTTGTTCATTCCTTTGAGTCACTTCGAGTGAGGAGAGAACAGGCCCCCTCTAAAGGAGGGACCTGCTGCTAGGACTTCCAAAATAGGGGCCTTATTTAATTTGCAACACTCAAATGGGAAAGAGTTTACTATAAGTAGCTAATATTTCTATTCTTTTCCTTTCCAGATATAAAGCCAAGTGTGGAACTGAAAAGCACTCAGGAGCCGCCTGCGCCCACAGGTAATGTCAGAAATAGACCTTGACTAAAATTACCAAAGAATGGACTATTCTTTCACTGGCAGTGAAAGATAGTGTGGAAATGAGTTTTTAAAAATGTGCCTGACAGGCTGCGGAGAGTGTGCAAAGGGCTGGAGCTCATGGCTTGCATGCGGGAGACCAGGGTCCAATCCCTGGCACCACATGGTCCCCTGAACACTGCTGGGAGTGACCCCTGAGCACAGAGCCTGAAGGAGCCCTTGAGCATCACCAGGTGTGGCTCCAACACTAAACAAAACAAAAATCAAACATAGCTGTCTCTTCCTGGTGCAGAAATTACTCATTTGGGTTATATAAATTCTTGCCATTATGAGGCCAGACCACACCCTACCTAATGCTGATTTTTTGTTTGCTTTTAAAATATTTTTCTTCAGGGGGTCAGTGATAATAATACACTGGGTAGAGCATTTGCCTTGCACACAGCCAACTAGGGTTTGATCCCCAGCATCCCATTTGGATCCCAGGCACCACCAGGAGTAATTCCTGAATGCAGAGCCAGGAGTAGCCTCTGAGCATCACTGGGTGTGACCCCAAAACAAACAAAACCTTTTTTCCTTTATCTTGTGACTGACTGGTTTTAATAGAGGGTTTGTTGTAAAGTCACTTCTATTTGAACAACTTTAGAACAGTGATCAGCAAATTTTTCCTATACAGGACGAGATAATGAATATATTTAAAGAGGTTAAAGGTATTTAGTCTCTATTGAATTTTTTTCTATATTTTTGTTATCCTTGACAGTTGCAGACACCATTCCTATGTCTGGGCCCAGGTTAAAAATAGCCATGACCGGGAAAGTAGAGCAATAGTACAGTAGGTAGGGTGCATGCCTTGCACACAGCCAGCCCAGGTTTGATCCCCAGCACCCTATATAGTCCCCTGAACCCTGCCAGGAGTGATCCCTGAGCACAAAACCAGGCATAAGCCCTGAGCACAAAATCAGGCGTAAGTCCTGAGCACAGAGCCAGAAGTAAGCCCAGAGCACAGCCAGATGTGGCTCAGGAATTATCTCTAGAGGTGATTGAGGATCATTTGTGGTGCTGGGAATTGAATCAGGGTCAGCTATGTGCAAGAGAAGCACCTTAGCCCCTTTACTATGTCTTTAATGCCAGTGCTTCCTAGGAAGTTCTCAGATGAGTCCTTTAAGTCAGGTCTTTAAGGCTAAGGAAAAGTGCACCATTTAGAGCAGTATCAGAAAGTTCAGATTGTGTGTTATGAGGTGCAAAAGAAACATGACCTGCTTATAAATCAGAACATGAGTTCGGGTTGACCACATTTTTAGGACCTCTTAGTCACACATGTTATGCAGTATGTTTCCCTCTCACTCCTGTTTTCCTGTAAGTGTCTTGCTTGCACTGCAGTGGAAAGAAAGACCTCTGCGGAGTTTCTAGTAACTTCTGCGTGAGCCCAGTGTCCCCTGCTGTCACTGTACATGACAGGGGTTCATTAAAATATTTCATTGACTATTGGGAAAAGTTGGACAGGAAGTGGGTGACCCTCCAGTGCTACTCATTTATTAACATTTTTTGAAGCTGCCAGCTAAATTGTGAAATAATCCCACCCACACTGTTCCAATTGAAGTACTTTTCTTTTTTTTCTCTTTTTCTTTTTTCCTTGGCTTTTTGGGTGACACCCAGAAGTGCTCAGGGATTATTCCTGGCTCTGCATTCAGGAATTACTCCTGGTGGTGCTCTGGGGACCATATAGGATGCCAGGGATCGAACCCAGGTTGGCCGCATGCAAGGCAAACACCCTATCCACTATTCTATAGCTCCAGCCCTGCTGAGGTACTTTTCATGTCTTCATTATTTATTGTTCAAAGTTTATCTCCAACAGACTTGATTTTCATCACATTTGCTATTTATCTGGGTGTGCTGTGATTATGTCTTTGCTCTTTCACCTAGGAAATGGGCCACACTTATGTCTCTCAGTCCTGTGTCAGCCTTGTTTTAGGGTTGTGGGTGTGTTTGCTCTGTATCTGCGAAGTATAAGCTCCTTGAAGAGAGAAATGATGACTTTTCATCTCTGTAAACTAGTCAGCATTTAGTAAATGTTCCAAGAAATAAAGATACTTGGAGGCCATTGTGTTTTTCACAGAATCACACTTAGCATAATATATATATATATGTTATATATATATATTTTTTTTTGCATTGCTGGTAATTGAACCTGGATTTCATGTATGCAAGGCAGGTACTTTCCCATTAAGTGACTTCTTTCATTTGAGTTTTTTTTTTTTCATTTAAAACTTCTTTTTTTTTTTTTTTGCTTCGAGGGCTACACACAACATTGCTCAGGGGCTGCTCCCAACTGTTCTCAGGGGTGCTCTAGGGACCATGTTGTACCAAGGATTGAACCCAGGCCTCCCACACGCAAAGCATGTGAGCTGTGTCTCTGGCCCAAAAATGGCAACAGAATGGGAAATAGGATGGTATCCAGAACCTTGCAGAGTTTCTCTCAGGAAAACATCTTTTCCAAACTGGGTTTTGCCAGTATTTTCAGGCTCTGTGCTTCTCATCACTGTATATTAATACTTGGTCATAAATAGCAGGAGTAGCCGACTGAATGTTGTGATTCATACCAAAGGAAAGAGGATTTCTGGCTAGATGGAGCTTGAGTGTATTTCCACTCAGGTGGAAGAAATACTCAGGAAAGTGTGGGCTTATGGAAAGTTGCATAAACCCTGGGCTGAGGTCTCAACCTTAAGATTTTTCCCATTTGGTGCTTGCTAAGTTAGATGTGAAGAGGGCAGGGTCTGACACCCACGGATTGTCTGAAGCTGAGATGGGAGTCTACTTAATACATTGTACTCAAAATCCTTTGACGATGACTGCTCGGTTAAAATTATTATTTTTTTCTTTTATCTCCTAGAAGGTCCAGTGGTTTCAAATGACTATGATTTAACTAAACCTCATGAAACAGAAAATGTGGATGGTGCAGAAGGGCCAGCCAATGAGGATGAAGTCATGGGAGGTGAGTGAGTATGCAAAACTGATACTTACAGACATGCTTGGGGCTTAATAATGATGAAATAGCATATCTCCAAGGAAAACTTGCTTCTCTAAGTCAGGTGGGAGTAACCCAGTTTTGTGCATTTTACAAATATTTATGTTTAAAGATTTGCTACAGAAGATCACCAAGTTTAAGAATTAGTGGGGCTTGTTCAGTTTTCAAGTTATACTAACTTCATGAAATTTTTCTTTTTTGTGGTTTGGGATGGGTTAGCTATAGCACAGGGGGTAGGGCGTTTGCCTTGCAGATGGCCGACCTGGGTTCGATTCCTCTGTCCCTCTCAGAGAGCCTGGCAAGCTCCCCGTGGCGTATTCGATATGCCAAACACAGTAACCACAAGTCTCACAATGAAGACGTTACTGGTGCCTGCTTGAGCAAATCGATGAATAATGGGAGGACAGTGCTACAGTGCAGTTGTTTGGGACACTGCGGCATTGCTCAGGCTAACTCCTGGCTCTGTGCTCAGGCCTTAGGGGACTGTAGGGATTGCCAGGGATTTGACCCAGGTCAGTTGCATGCAGGGCAAGCATCCTACCCACTGTACTGTCTCTCTGGCCTCTGTTTGTTTGGGGTTTTTTTGGCCACACCCAGCAGTGCTTAGGGTCTACTCCTGGCTCTGTGCCCAGAGATTGCTCCCAGCAGTGCTTGTGGGACAAGGCAGGGCCATTTAAACCTCTGGCATGTAGAACACGTTCACTAATCCGTTGAGCTATCTCGTTATACCCTAAATATTTTTTTAATGGTTTACCACAATTTGGAAACGTTACAGAAGTGGAAAGAAAAAAGGGGGAAGAAAACCCCTCTGTCCTGGTATAGCCAAAGATAGTCTCTGTTAGCACTGAAAAATGCTAGCAGACATTTTTGCGAAATTTGAACAGGATGTTTGTGTTAACATTGCACACGTTTTATGCTAATATTTATGTGGATAAATCTGATCAATATTGCCTAATGTCACTCAGATCTCATTTTAGATGTCATTTTTCTAGAGAAACTTTTCCTTAACACCAGTCACTATTTTAACACAGTACCCTATTTTAATTCTCTGCATGGCACTTAGACGAAATTACCAGAGATAATTTTGGAGTATTTTTCCTTTCATTGTCTCTCTTCTACACCCTTTATTAGTTAGACTTTCTTTTTCACTGCTTGGTGTTTGCAGTACCTAGAACAGTTCTTGGCCCATAGTGGGATGCAATAAATACTTATTGAGTAAGCAACTAAATTATTTAATTTAGTGTCTTGGGCTGCGTGTGTGTGTGTGTGTGTGTGTGTGTGTGTGTGTGTTTGTGTGTGTAAGGGGAGAGTGGTTTGAGGGGCCACACTCAGCTCTCAGTTATACTTAGAACGTTCTCCTGACTCTGTACTCAAGGATTACTCCTAGCAAGGCTCAAGGAACCATATGCAGTTCTGGGATTTGAACCAGGGTCAGCCACATGCGAAAGCAAGCACCTTACCTTCTATACTATCTCTTTGGCACCAGACTATCTAATTTTAATAAAACATCGAGTTATCCCACAAGCACGAAAGCCCATTTGTTTCATTTTGGAGATATCACCCAGTGGTACTGAGGGGCTACTCCTGACTCTGCTCAGGACTCACTCCTAGCAGTGCATGCTGGGGATTGAATCTGGACCCTGTGCATGCAAAGCATGCACTCAGTTAATTGAGCTATCTCCCTGCCCCCTGCTTTAGATTCTTAAGGGGTCAAGAAATTGACTTCTAGATCTAAAACTTCTGAGATTCAAATCACAGCTTCAAGTAGCATTCCAGCTCTGCCTAACTATACGTTACCTTGTACCAGTTTTTAACCACAGAGACTGAAAAATACTGCCTGGCACAGGATGTGGTCATTTGTGCTGAGGAAAGGCATGTGATGTTCTATCAAGTTCAAGCAGCTTCTTGAGGTGACATCCATGGAGACAGGCTCAGGAGTCAGTGCTAGCTGGGCTCCTGCTGTTCTGCATTGGGGCTCTTGGGTCTGGCGGGGAACGCCTGCCAGCTGATGTGTGCATTGATGATCCCTCCACTTTTGGTCCGGAATCGACCTTTGAGGTTAGAGTTTGCTCTGGGTTCAGAAGTAGACTCTTGAGTTTTATGCTTCCAGGTCATGGGGGTCGGGATGGGGGGCAGGGAGGGCTGGGGGGGGGGGTCTGAAGAAACCAAATAAGATTCATTCAACAACAGGGATTTAAAACAAATCGTATAGAAATGTTATGTAGCAAACATCATGTTAAATAGCAAAAACTCAACTGAGTTATCTTTGAAGATGTAATTGGCTTTATTACACGATTAGCTACGACTTGTTAACTTCCCATCTAGCAAGTAGACAAATGTTTCCCAAAAGCAGCATAAAATGAAAGCGCAGAAAGGGAAGGACAAGGGGAGAAGGAATTATTTCAGACTTGGGAGATCTACCTTTGGGGACTAGAAAAAGATCTCATCTTGAGAAATGGAAGAAAATATGCTCGTTGGCGCTGACCACAAAGGCCCACGTTTAGGGCGAAGTGATAGTATAGTGGGCAGGGCACTTGCCTTGACCTATCCTGACTCAATTCCCGACACTCAAATGGTCCCTGAGCCTGGCTAGGAATAAGTCCTGAGCAGTGCTGGGTGTGGCCCCAAAACAGAAAGTCCCATGCTCATTTGTTAGGACTCCATCCCTGGGGAAGGTTGGCAGAGACTACAAACCACAGCTGGGTTAGGTTTTCTCTCTGAGTGGACTGGTCATCTCCATTTGGGACCTGTCACCATTTTTTTGTTTGTTTGTGAGTACCTTGCAATGCAATAGGAACCTATGCTGTAGATTTTAGGCCTCTACACATTTGCCGCACTCTGGAAGCACTTCCCAGGAGCAGAGATAGGATCTCTCTGTGGTCCGCCCTTTCCACTGTGGTTGCTTCCTTCTGTCACTTCACCCAAAGTAGCGCCTTGTCAGCGGATTGATGGGTTCTCTGTGTATCTTTTTCAGTTGTAAGGGGCCTGACACTAGTCGTACAGTTCTTGGAAGAGATTAGAAGATACGATCAATCATTCTAAATATTATGGAGAGAGAGAGAGAGAGAGAGAGAGAGAGAGAGAGAGAGAGAGAGAGAGAGAGAGAGAGAGAGAGAGAGACGCCTGACTCAGAAAAACAAATAGGCTTACTTTAGTATTTAATCCATTATTTCATGATTAAGTTCCAGATGACTGTGGCATTCATCTTGGCACTTAATCTGGGTCAGAGAACTTTGGCCGAGATTAGCAGGTGCCCGCTTTTTAAAAAGATATGATCACTGTGTGCAAATGATGTCTGGTGATTATATAAGATAATTGAAAAGTAGACCTGCCCGCTAGAAAAGACATACCACCTGCATAATAGAGTTCTTCTGAAATATGCAAAGAAGAAAACATTAAATAAGAACTAGAAAAAGGTCTAGGATTAGTAGTATGTTTTTAAAGGTACTTACGGAGTTTTAGCAATACTAAAAGAATCATAATTAATTAAATTTTTTTTCCTATTTTGTGGTTCCAAGGAATGGAACTGGGGGCCTTGCACGTGTGAAGCATGTGCACTACCACTGAACCACCTCCCTAGTCTTTGTAAATGACTTTGTAACCAGCTTGAGAAGAGCCATAGTCTGTTTATATTCTGTGGCAACATTTCATTTTAATGTCCTCTGAATTTTTTTTTATAAACTAAGACTTGTCTTGGAATGCTCTTAATTCAGAATGATTGTAATCATGTTTAGTTTGGGGGGAGGGCAGGGTTTGGACCACACCTGGTGGTGCTTGTAAGTCACTCCCAGTGATGCTTATGAGACCATGTGACTGTGGGAATCATGGGGTGAACCACACATGAGAAAGTCTGCCAAGAATCATTGATTTCTCCTCATGGTTCTGTAGCTATCTGGGTCCAGCAGCACCTGCTGGGCATTGCTAGTCTGAGAAAAATCAAAATTCAAAGTTTGTTTTCAGTAGAATGTGTTTTTATTTTGTTTTATTATCGTTTTTGGTTTTCATGTCACAACTGAGGTTCTCAGGGCTTACCCCTGGTTCTGCTCTCAGGAATCTCTCCTGGAGGGCTCTGGAGGGGTTCAGGGGATCATATATGGTGCCAGGGATCAAACTGGGATTGACTGCATGCCAGGTAAGTGCTTTAACCTCTGTACTATGTCTCTGGCCCTGTTTTTTTTTTATGCGTTTCGTTAGGAATTTTTGGGGGGAGGGACACTCTCAGCAGTGCTGAGGGCTTAGTCCTGCCTCTATGCTCAGGGACCATTATTGGAGGGCTTTGGGGGACCACATGGGATGCTGGAGATGGAACCCAGGTTGGCAGTATGCAAGACAAGTGCCCTATACTTAACCATGTACTGTCTCTTCAGCCCCTTTTCATATCTTTTTTTGGTGGGACTTTCCTCTTGGTGCTCAGGTGACCCTAGGGGTACTTGCCCCTCTGTGCTAGTAATTTCATTACTACAGCCCAAGAATGAGGTGCTTGCTCAGGCCCCATGGTGCCAGGAGACCACCAGGGCTGGTTCTCAGGGACCTTCAGGGTCATATCATTTGATGTTCATGTTCAAGATTCTCGAGGGCTACACACAGTGACGCTTGGGAGGCCGAAGGTTCCGTGAACCCCGAGTAAGGATGCACCCTTAACCCTTGTACTATCTTCAGGACTCCCTGAACGTGAATTTTTTCACAGCATCTTAAGTAAAAGTAAAGTAAAGGCCCTCCTGTTGATCATCGATTTGCTCAAGCGGGCCCAGTAACGTCTCCATTGGAGACTTTGTTGTTACTGTGTCTGGCATATTGAATACGTCACGGGGAGCTTGCCAGGCTCTGCCGTGCGGGCGAGATACTCTCGGTAGCTTGCCGGGCTCTCCGAGAGGGGCGGAGGAATCGAACTCGGGTCGGCCATGTTGGCTGCGTGCAAGGCAAACGCCCTACCGCTGTGCTATCACTCCTTAAAGCCAAAAATCTAC